ATGTCTTCTTGGAGCCGAGCACTTCCACCTGCTGAGTACAACCACGCCGGACCCTCAGGGGGGGCACCTACAAGAGTGGAAACAGGTTCCTCTCTTCTTTACTTTTCAGTTAACCCAAATTTCAATGACAGATGTGACCTAAAACGGAAGGTGTCCGCCTGCCAACTTGAATCCATACTAGAAATAATGCACTTTCACTGGAAATCGTTGAGATGGTAAGAAGTGCTGTGTCCACAGCCCAGAAGCCCAGGACCAATCAATGGGCTGCCGTCCAGTTTCACATTTCTCGGCCCATATTCCTCAGGCACTAGCTTACTATTCACCAAGCTGAATAAGCAGTTAAATTAATGATAAAATTTCCAGAAGTCACATATTCATGGCAGGAAAGAAATGATTCAGAGTTTGAAGGAAATGAGAGTGGGCTAAAAATAATCTGCCTGGCCTCTATGTAGTTCTTTATCATGCTTGGGTTGTTGAATGCATTGCTGAAAATGAGCCAATATTTAGGCTGTTACTGGAGTCAAGAAACTTCACGATTCAATTCATGGCAGAGTGTTGGGCTTTTCCCTTTTAGCCATTATTTATATTTAAAAAAATAACAAGAGTTAACACTATGGTGTTTACTACAAGTCAGACAGGTTCTAGATACTTTCCAGAGAGTAACTTTGTATGAATGTGCCTCCATCCTCTCTAGATCTTGCAAAACAAATGCTCCCAGGGCCCAAAATCTCACCTTTGCTTGCTCCAAAGGTGCTTGCTTGTCTCAGAACTCCTTTCTACTCTTCATTTTTGATCCCTTCTCCATCATTCTGTAAATATTTTCTAATATTCCACTTGCAAATATCCCACTTCATCCACCTTAACTTCCATATTTTTGTCCACTATCTCACTCTGTGACCCCGGCTAAAGTACTTACTTTCTCCAACAGTCTTCAATTTCTGTATCTAAATAAAAAGTGCGCTGGCTAAACCAGCTCCAATATTATGTGGCTCTTCCTGCAGGAAGACTTCTTTGAACAAGGTTAGTATCTTCATTGTCCCCTGAAGCCCTAAAGTCAATTTTGTTCTAAGACTGTCAAGCACTTGCTCCAGCCAACAATTCGCCCTCTTCCTCTGTTCATTCATTTCCCAAGTCCTGGTTTTCCTTCACGACCTACCTTCAACCTCACCTACTCCAGGACACCCTGGTCTATAACTCTTATAGAATTTCTTACAAACCACACTGAGCACACTCCACAGACAGCGCCTTATCTTTCATATTACTGTTCAGTGTATCTGTTCTCACCTAACCTGAGCTCTCAGACAGCAGAGATGACGTCACATTTCTTTGTCTCCCCTGAAGGACCACCCACCAGGCAGGTGTGTCACAGCTGCTCAGCGCTGCTCCCTGGAGAGTGAGGGGTCATCTCTCATTAAGGAAGCTACTGGTTGCTATGCTTCACTCGCCGACTGTTAAGGATGACCGCGTCCATCACCTGCTCCTCTCTCTCACACAAATTCGTAAACCACACTTTTCACTGAAGAGCATTACTAAATTGAGCAACAGGAAAGCTTCACTAACTCCTTGGTTTTCTTTTATCTGAATCAGAGCAGTGACAGCCATGTGTCCCTCTGATCCAAATCGAAGTGATCACGAGAACTGTCAGTTTATACCTCCGCTGATCCTGGTTCTACAGTTCCACTAACGCATTCTCCATGGTTTTTCAGTCCTTACTTCTAACACATACAACATTGTGACAGCCTCACACAACTAAATTTCCAGGAAACATCTGGCATAATATCAGAGAATTGGTGTTTGATCAAAACTACATCCTCTGCTTCATGAATCTCGAAGTGACTAGTTTCAGCCCTGGATTTGAAGTGAGAGCACATGCATATGTGTGTTTTGGAAGCTTCCTGACACTGACCAACAGGGACACCCAGTCAACATGAAAACCCTAAAACAGCGCTCACCTCTTCCACCCTGAGAGAACTACTGGGGTTCTGCTCAAGACAGTCGCCGTTCTCTGTTTTGCAACAACCCTGGATAGCTACTGACTCCTTGTCGTTAATCACAAAGTTCCCCAAACAGAATCTTAAATTCAGTCCAACTTTTTGAAATGAAAGCTGCAGAACAAAGTACTCCAGCTGAACTGCATCAATTAGGATGTCATTATTAAATATTTTAGGTTTGGTGACAGCATTGTTACTGTGTTTTTTGAAAAGGAGAGAGACCCAAGTAAGGTCTCCATGTAGTTAACAGTATTGAGGCATTGTTAATTCCCTGGGTTCGATCATCTTACTGCGGTTTTGCAAGATGACCACTTTCCAGGAAGCTGGGTGAGAGGTACACAGGAACTCTCTGAATAATTTTTGAGACTTCCTCTAATTCTAAAATTAATTCAAGTTAAAACCTTTAAGAAGAGCCCTTTACTTTAAAAGACACATATTCAAATACCTATGAACAAAATATGTCTGAGGTGGGGAGGTGGCAGGGGATGTATGGAGTGTGGATGAAACAGGCGTGTTCACAGGCTGATGGCTGGGTTAGCTGCAGTAGAATGGAAGGCATCCGAGTTCAAGGGACTGGTATGCTTCCACGTATGTGTAAAATTTGCCATTATATATACAGAAAGAAAAAATTTTCAGGTGATCCTAACATGCATTCAGGGTCAAGAAATATGACTTATCTGTCTGGTACCGCAGCGACAATGAGTTAGTCACTTAACCTTTCTGTACCACACTTTCCTAAACCACAAAATGACAGATATAAAAAAACCTGATATGGAGCAAAGGACTTTTAGAAAAAAGACAAGAAACACTGAGTTGATTTATTATTCTAAAATCTTCTCTCTGAGGGCCTACCTGGTGGTGCAAGGGGTTAAGCACCACATTATGGAGCAATCCACAGCCTCTGCAGTCCAAGTTTGATCCCGGGCTGGCCAGGGAGCAACCCCCATGGTGCAGCAGACCTCTCCTGTCTCGCCCGCCCACTGCTCCCCTCAGCAGTGTATTTCAGTCAGTCTGCTGGTTCTGTTCCCCACTCTGTCTCTGGTGTCCTCTTACTCCCGGCATCTCTGGCCTGTACCCCAGCTCTTATATGCATAAATAAATAAATCTTTAAAATAAAATCTATTCTCTGAGACTTAATGTTTTAATTCCTAGCATAGGAGTTAAAGTGGTAATGTCTTATGTCTACAAAATCATTTTCTAGAGAATATTCTAAAAAATACCACTTCTATAAGACATTATTGATGTTACCAAAGATGAGGGTTTCGAGGTCAAATAAGTTTCAAAGGTACTGGTTGTCTTTACTGTAAGGTTCCTAAGAACTTTTAATAAGATGCATATTAATAAGATGAAATATGCAAAAAGTCTGCCCTTCTTTACATGAGTCTAGTTTTATAGAACTTATGCTTCAGACCTGTGGTTTCCAAGTTCCAGGCAATGGAGGGTGGCATTGGTATCATTTGGTAATCGTAATAAAGTAAGTTTTCACAGACCACATCCTATATCTATTGGGGGAGAGGAAATCTTAGTATTAAGACAAACAAACAGAAAAAAATAAGTAATTCTAATGCATAGTTGTGTTTGAGATTGAAAGCAATGCAGAACATAATGCAGTAAGTTTATAATATTTGCCAGGCAATAGTCTTCCAAATAAAAGTATTTAATCCACAATAGAAGCAGAAATGCATATAACTTTTGTGAAAGATAAGTACTAACACGTTGGAGGTGTTGGCAAATTCAAATCTATCAATGTAACTAAAGACTATTTTGTAATCTCATGGTCATACTATGGCTATTACTAATTGACGTTTAATTTACACGAATTCTCAAGCCTTTACTTGCATGTCTCCTCATGTCCATATTCTTTCACCTGCCAATGACAAGACTGTTTTGTTCAACGATCCAGGGGGTGTCAATCACATAAGCTTGGAGCTCCTGTTCTGTTCCGTGACACCACTTCAGAGTTTCTGGAATATAAATTGCTTCTTGATTGAAAACTTTGGAAAATGTATTTATGGAGGCCCTGCTGCCCCCAGGGGTAGGCCATACTGCTGCTCAGCTAGTGACAGACATGCTTAAAACAAGTACCTACTTACTGTCATTAATGATTACTCAACAATCATACCATGCTCTTTAGTTTATCAAGTACTTTCACATGAGTTATATTACTTTTCTCCTCACAAAAAACTTGTGAGTTAAGTAAGTACAGTCATTTCTGTCCAACTAGTAAGAATTACTGGGCTTTCCATGGGCTAACATGATAAAAAATATAACTGAGGAAGATGTGGAGGCTCCTGCCCTAGGAGAGCTGATAACGTCTGGAAAACAAAGTGTAAATGACACAGAGGAAACAGCTCACCAATCTGGAGACAATTGCTCATCAACAGAGCAAACTAGGGTGGAAGGACTTTCCACATACTAGTAACAGCTAACATTCCCCAAGCAACTTTGGGCAGGGTACTTCTTAGCCCCATTTTTCAGATGAGGAAACTGAGGCCCGAGCATGTAACTGGTGAAGCAGGATTCAAACTCTACTTTTCCACTGTTGCATTTTACTGCTAGGGAAGGCAATTTCTCCAGAGCAATGAGGATAGAAATCAAGACTTCACTAGAAAATGACTACTTCCCCTAAGTTGGAGTCACTGGCTCTACTGCCCAGTAGGAAAGGATTCATGAGTGGTGCAGGGGTTAAAGTCTCAGCAGTATCAAGCTATTGCCTGCCACTGCATCATGAGTTCGATCCCCGGCCAGGAAGCTAACCCACTTGGAATTGCAGACATCTTCTGTCTTGCTCACTGCTCCCCTCAGTAGAGTATTTCAGTAGATCCACCTGGTCTGCTCCTCACTCTGTATCTGGTCTCCTCTCATCCCTCACACCTCTGGCCAGTAATTCTATGCATAAATAAATAAAAGTAAAATCTTAAAAAAAGGCTTAAAAGAAAAAAAAGGTCTCATGAGTTACAGGAAGTCCCAATAATGAGTCAGCAGAGTTACTGTCCCTCTAATACATACCTCTTTGATCCGTTTCACCAAAGCATTCTGATCAAAAGCAACAGCCTCTGCACACTGATGGAGGTGATCCTGGTATCGGAGGCAGAGCTGCAGCACCTGCTGAGAATCCAACTTCTCCAATTTTGCGTTTGTTGGAGAGGTCTGCCCACTCAGCAACCCTGCAAAGCAGACAAAAAAGAATGAAATCAAAAGAAATGGAAATCAGTGTTAAGAGACTTGTGAATACAGCAGTGTAATAGCAAGCTCACCAAAGACAGAGTCAGAGACTTGAATTGAATCTTGATGCTTCTGTTACATGCTGATGACAATCGCAGTGACCGTCAGCTTGTGAAGCAGCTACTATATGCTGCTTGTTTGTTAAGTGCTTCTGCACATTCTTTTTCATATTCATAATTGTCCCGAGAAGGAAGACATTATTATCTCTGTTTTATGGATGAGGAACTCCAGACATTGAGAAGTTAAGAAACTTTCAAAGTCACATGGTCAGTGAGTGGTTTCTCCAGGACAGCTCCTGGAAGCTAACCCACTTGGAACTGCTGACATCTCCTGTCTTGGCTGCTGCTCCCCTCAGCAGTGTATTTCATTAGATCTACCTGTTCTGCTCCTCACTCTGTCTCTGGTCTCCTCTCGTCCCCCCACACCTCTGGCCCACACCCCAGTAATTCTATGCATAAATCGGATATTATATGATATTATGACACTCCTTCAAGGTGTCAGGAGTATAAAAATCCCTTCCAGATCGTAAACACTGGAAGTGGTATTTACTTTATTTCTTTGAATAATGAAAATAATCATCTGAGAAACAGGGCAAAGGAAATAAAATGTACAAGGATACCATTAAGAAGGGAGGCCACAATGAAACATTTTTTTAAATTACCTTAAAATAACAACAATGACCTCATTACATGTTAACATATTTTTAGGAAAATGACTACAGTTTTCAAAACAAAAATGTAAGGAGGGTGGCACTGCATTTTCATATGTTTTTAAATGTCGCCCTTAATTTAGAGGGAACTTGCCACTGAATGACTTGAGTGGGAATAAGACAAGATTATTTCTTAATACCAAAAAAAATATAATCAACCATTGCATACAGGCATGTCATACACACCCTTCCCGACTGCACAGTGAGAACAGGAGCACATTACTCAGCTATACAAGCCATCTGCTCCATTTAGTTGCTTCTATTTACTAAATATCTGTCATTGAACTACTAGTTTAGATTATAATTTAATAATGCTTTCTTTTTATTTGTAAAATAAACCAAATAGATTATCTTACAATGATAATAGTCTACTTAGAGAGGAAGACTCGATATTGTTATGTGAAATAGTTTCCTTAGATCAAAGATATCAAAAAGGATTTCAAAAAAACTATGAGCTCTTACCACAATATAAAGATTTTATTAATCACAAGTACTGAACAAATAAAAACCTATCAGCACATCCACTCATCAAGGCTTTAAAAACAAGACAGTTGATGTTTTTCAAGAATAAGTTTGGGGGGATCCTGTGGTATCACATATAAATGGAAAAAATAAAATGTATAAGCAGGAGGAAAAAAAGAAAATAAGAAAGTATGGCTTAATTGAAAATCAGCCAGAGTCTTACATCTGCTTCTGCATTTAAGCTGTTGCCATTTTATACCATGCAGACTTGGGAAAATCGCACTGTATACTTCTCAGAGAATGAGAGAAATGAGCAAATGTCTGACTATTACCGAGAAAATAGTTTAGATCTCAGGGAATCCCAGCAAGGCCCTAGGGATCTCAGGGACTCCTCCCTACCACACCCTGGGAACAACTATGCTTGGCCATGCTGTTTCCTACTGGAGTCGACACAGAGATGAACACAGCAATGGGGCACGGGCTGGCAAGAGGCCACACCAAGGTTTGTCTTGGGAACCCTTCCCCATTCCTGTCCCCTCCACCATCAACATGAAACCCTCACTTAGAGAGGAGGTGCTGGAGCTAAGGTGGTGTTCCATTTCCTCCAAACAGGCTGGAAGATGCCACGCAGTTGGGCTGTCCCAGAGAATGCTCAGAAATGCCAGTCCGTGTTCTCAGGTCTCCATCTGGCTTGATGGAGCAGAGTGAAGGGTTAACCCCAGGACACTGCTCCGCTGCCCACATCCTACAGCTGGCATACGGTCCCCTTAGCTGTCCTAATCCTATCTTTACCCAAAAGCGCACCTGCCATCCAGCTGACCCTGCCTCCACAAGGCAGCTTTTGGTGACGCTGGCATATGCAGGAATGGGAATTTAATTTTTATTAGAAATTTCCAATGAGATCTTGTGTGCATGATCTTGTGTACCCCTTGACCTAGTTTCCTCCAAAGGTAACATCTTTCCAGAAAATATATAGTACAGGACAACAATGTACAGGACAGTCTAACAGCCAGGATCCTGACATCGATACAATTCACTGACCTTATTCAGATGTCCCTATTTTACTTGTACTTGTGTTTGTGTGTGCTTAGTTCTACACAATTTTTTCATATGTGGAGGTCTGTGTATCCACCACTAACGTTAGATGTAGCCCATTCCAGCACCATGAGGATTTCTTGTGTTGCTTTTTAAAAGCATATCCACCTCCCCACTCCACCCCCCACCCCGCTTCCTATCTAACTTCTGGAAAAACGAATCTCTTCCCCATTTCTAATGTTCACACATGTCAAATGTTTATAAATGCACTAGTACAATATATAACCTTTTGAGACTGGCTTTCACACCTAAGCGCTCCATGTATGAACAGTCCATTCCTTTCATCTCTGAGTAGTAATCCATGGTGTGTGTGTTCCTGAGTTTGTTCAGTCATTCAAATCAGACACTATTTGATTTGGGACTATTACAAACAAGGCCACTTGAACAGTTGTGTACAGGTTTTTGTGCAAGCCTAAGTTTTCCTATCTCTTGTATAAATGCCCAAGAAGGCAACTGCTGAGTTGAATACTTAGGTTTATGAGAAAAGGCAATTTTTCTAGAGTGCCTGTAAACCAAGAAAATGGGGGATTTTCCAGACCACTAAAATCTCCCCACAAAATCACTGACAGAAATTCCAGTTCTAGGAAAGCAAACTTGGGGAAAAAAGGAACCGAAAAATGTTTTGCTGTCAATCCAAAATTGGAAAGAGTGAGAAGGCAGCATGCAAAGGGGCACAGATGATTCTGTGCCATCAGCAGTGGGCCAGGGCAAGGCAAAGACAATAAAGGAAACTGATAAATTCAACAACATAAAAATCAAGATTCTGTTTTAATTCTTACTTACCAACACTAACCATTACCTGAACCCTTATCATTAATAGAGAATGAAATATATATCATCTTGAAGTTCTGTTTTGTGTCATTTTATAAATGTATTTATAATTACAATTATTCTAAATAAATTGGAAAGTATAACCACAAAGGCAGGGGGAAAGGTACTTAGATTTAGGATTTTTTTTCCACTTTTTATTACATAAATTTCCAAACAGAAAAATCTTCTTACATAAAAGTAGGCAAAAATTTATACCCAAATTCTCACTATCTAGATTCAACAACAAACTTTTTTTATTCATTTTTTATTTTTTAATTTTTTACATCATTGTTAATTTTAAAATAATATTTGCTTCCCCCCACCCCCTCAGGTGTAGTCCCCATAGAGTTTCCTTCACCAATGCACCCCTGCACCATCACTTCAGTCCCTTGTGCTCCTCCCTCCCGCCGAGCCCTCTCCCTCCTCCTCCCCTGCAGGATGTCTCTGATTTATGATTGTCCGTTTTTGCTTTGTTGTGTTTTGTACTGTTTTTTTTTTTTTTTTACACTGATGTCTTATTTGGTTCCCCCATATTCCTGCTATAAGTGAAACCATCCGATATTTTTCTTTTTCCTTCTGGCTTATTTCACCAAGCATAATTCCTTCTAGCTCCACCCATGTTGCTGTGAATGGCATGCATTTATCTTTTTTGATTGCTGAATAATATTCCATGGTGTATATATACCACATCTTCTTGATCCACTCATCTATTTTTGGGCATTTGGGTTTTAACAACAAACATTTTATCAAATATCTACTTTATCTCTCTCTGTATTTCTTTCCCTGAGCCATTAAAAAAGCACACACATCTTGACACTTCACTCTTAATACTCCATCCTTCCATATGTACGGTCTTCCATTTAAATAAAAAAAAATCTATATTAAATCTTCTTTACTATGCTAAGGAACACAGCCATTCTCCTCAGTGTTCTAATTTCTTCAGTTTGCAGTGATGCACATAAAGTAAATGTTTATTGAGTTAAAAAAAAAAAACCCTGATTTAAAAATTCCATATATTACAGGTTGGGTTTGCAAATGATAAATACTGGAGATCTTTCCTAAAACCTTGTTGAAACCACTTTGTTTATACAGGAATAGAGTGTGAGCGCCAGGGAGTGGGTGAGGACCAAGACTGCATAACACGCAGATCCAGAAAACTGCCATCTCTACCTATTTCTTTGTGTAAAGTGTTGAGTGGAAAAATCATCAGGGTTAGAAATTTGGAAAAAATTTTGCTGAGCAATCTTTTTCTTTTTGAAATGTCAGGTAGGGAGAAAAAATTTTCTGATGTATATAATACAGAGCCATCCGGGTATTAATCTAGGCTATTACCAAATTGAGTTTCTTCCTTTTTAGAGGCTTAGCCACTTTCAGTACTTGAACCAAGGATTAGGAGCAGTGGGGGCCATACTTGAGAAACACTATAACAAGATTCATTTCTTGTTAGAGAATCCAGAAAGCAGAATCTATGTAACTTTGACAAAAGTTATTGTGAAGATACAGTTAAGTAACAGATTATGAAAAGAGTAATCCCCCCATCCCCAAATTTATAATAACGAATTTGATTCAGCACAATAAATTTCAAGGACAAAAAAAAAAGCTTTCTTTATTTAATATAAACTCTACTTTTCAAAGGCACCCCCTCCCCTTCTCTTAAAGAGGAAAATCCAAAAACATCTGCCCAACTTGGATAGGGTCTGATGATGTGTGTTAGTGATCATTTCCTTTGAGGTATTTAGAAAGTTTCCTTGGGAATTTTTATATTCATTCAGTTACCTCAGGAACACCAGTCTCACCCAGGAGAAGGAGCCACCAGAATGCCTGTCATCATTGTTTTGGTTAAACCATGTAGTGGGAGAGACTGCT